CCCACAAAGCACAGAAATGAAAAGGTAAAACACACCTTTTATTTTACAAAGGTTTAAATGGCAGTGCACTTTAAATCAAGAGGCTAAGGTAACTTGTATCTTAACCTTTATTTTACTTATGTCTTACACAAAATACAAATGTTCAGCATGTTGTCTTCTAAACAGGAAATTGATGGCAAATGTCTTTTATTATGCGCCCAAGTGGTCCCTGCTTATGTTTTTCCCCAAGCCAGTGAGTCCACTCTATGAGTGAGAGGTGTTCTTTTAGCATCTTCTCTGTCCTATTCCCTCTTAGTCTCCATATGTTCGTTTTGTATGTCAGCCACGCTCTTTCAATGTGTTGTGAGTGAGCTCCACTGTGTGGGTCTACAAACCACTGTGAATGGTTTACTGTGAAATGTCTGTAGCCCATGCTGGCCAAAGCACCCCTGTAGGCTCTCCACTCATCTGAAATAATGGTAGTGCCTGGACGCACATGTTTCACAACTATGGGAACGAGGTGTGCTCTTGATCTTCTTTTCACAAGCCGCAAGATTGGGTGTCTGTGTTTATTCCTCACACCTAGAATGCCAAACACCCATTTCTTTCGCCTCCATGTTGTTGATGCTCTCCCTCGTCCATACTGTAAAAGTTAAATATGTAATTAAAAAAAAAAGAAATACTACATTATCATTATTTTCATTTAACATGTTTACACATACAGACGGGTAACAAATTAAAGGAAAGTCTGGGGGAGCTTTATACAAGTGTGGCTGATTTTAATTTCAAAACACACAAGGTTTACATATACACTCAGTTGGTTATTTCTAGAATAAAAGAAAACAGATGAGAGAAAAACAGATGTGTGCTTGTACATTATTTATATGTTACAAGAAATAGTAAGACATCACAGACATTCCAAAACCAAATAAATGCCAATTAGAAATGTTCAAATGACAATAATAGTGGTCAGCAAATTTGCCTTATAGGTTCTAAATTTACCTTTCTTTTATGACGAAAGTTACTTTCATCAAGAACGGCAAATTCCAGAGCACTTCCAATCATCTGTCCATGTCTTCTTCTGAATCGTTTCATAGCACAGTGGCAAACATTCCTCATGATACTAGCCATCTTAGAGAGTGTTTTGGAGCTTTTTGCAATGCCATCTTGCATCATATCAATTTGTCTGATCCGTAACCCCTGAGTGAACCTGTGAAGTACACAATGATGACTCAATGATGATGGAAAGCTGAGTTGTCAAAATTAAAACAAAGAACTTTGAAAGGCATTGTAATATTATACTATACCTTCTCAGCTGTCCAGTAACAGACTCACCTGTAAATGAACATTAGCCAAGATGACAAGCTGAGTTTTGATCTCTCAAAGAGAGACCCTGCTCGCACTGATCGGCTGGTTTTCTTGCCTCGATGACTTTTATGTCTGCACATCCTGTGATGACGATAAATAACAAAAAACAGTTATGTAGACAAAAGTATTTTTAACACACATTGATAACATTTTTTCTTTTCCCTAACTCTCAGAAGTATCATTATTTCTGTAACATGAAATACAAACGTGATAACATGTAAAATATAAACTTTTAACAAGATATACAGTAAAGCCTGTTTTATTATAACCACCTATTAAAGTCTTTGTGGCAAAGCTGCCTGATACACTGCAGCGTGGAGAGAATGTATTCATGGTGTCAGATATTAAAGATTTTTTAAGACCTTTTTAATACCACTTTACATGAAATATAAGACCAAACCTGCAAAGGAAATACACCCAAACACACGCACACTTAGCTATCTTAATGAAGACATTAAACTTATGTTTTATTATTACTCTATTGTTTTCATATGCAGATAATTATCGATTATATAAGCTTAAAACCTACACCCCAAGCAATATTCTGATTGTTGGATGCATCTTTTTTTATATTGTAATGTAGGAAACTCATAGGCTCTGTAGGCAACAAATATAAATTAATATTAATAAAATCATTAACATTGTTGACAGCTTATCATTACACAAATGACAACACATTTAACTTAGGGGAAAACTGTTCAAACTTAGATGAAGAGAATTGCGCGCAGAGAACATGTCACGCGCCAGCATCAGTGGTGCGCTCGGTTATTAATGGCATAGATTTGCCGCCATATTATTCAAACACACACAATATCTCCTAGGCCGGGGTGGCGAACCCCGGTCCTGGAGAGCTACAGCCCTGAAGAGTTCAGCTCCAACCCTAATAAAAACTCACCTGCCTGGGGAGGTGGGGGCGGCGTGATATTAGGCAACCCAAGTTTTTCCATCTGCGGCCAGATTCAAATTTATATATAGAAGACGTTTATCGATATCGACAGATATTTGTGGATTTTTTTTCGTGGTAATACCACCCAAATAAGACCTATCGAATCTAGATTTAAGTCGTTTTAAGACGCTAATTAGGAAAACCGTATTTACGACATTTAAAACTTTTAAGGACTTTTTTAGGTTGTAGACCTATAATATCCATGGAAAAAAAGATCAACAGTGTATCATGTAATCAAATCTGTAATTTGTTTAATTTACCAATGAAAACCGTCGACATGTCTTCTATTTCTCTCCATTGTCATATTATGGCCACATCTTGAGCACTTTACTCTCCTTGCTAGTAACTTTTTACTTTGAAGCCATTTAATGAGCTTGCGTTTCCTGTTAGTCGTGGGTTTCTGAATCGCGAAAAGCAGCAATTTTGAATGCAACATGACCAGAGAGCTATTGGTGCTAACTACAGTAATTAAACTCAGGTCAGGTGGCGCTAAAAACAACAGAGATTGCCCCGCCTATTTCCGGTGCGATAAGAACCTGCTTCAATCATGCACAAGGGCTTAAACATAATACACACATTAACCCAAGTAAAACTTTATGGTATTGCACCATCTTTGGATGTATATACAAACTGGGATAACTGTAAAGATATCCAAGACCCACCAGAGCTTCACGTAGGGTTNCACAGTAATGATACAAAGCTTTTATCCCCTTATTTTCATTCCCTTTACAGAGCTTCCAGCAGTAGTGACACAGCTGAAAGATATCATTGAAAAAATCACAGTTCTGATCTCAACTCCTGCATCCACCGGGTCAACACCTACACCATCTGTAGACCCACCAGTTTCTGCACCCACCTCTCTTCATGTGTTGTCTGACCCTGATGATATGGTAAATACCTCAAAATGCATGGATACTGTATGTTATTTATCCATGTGGGGAAAGGTTTGTGATACAGTTTCCCTCTACATCTTTTGATTGTACGCATAAGCTAGAAAGAAAGAATATATTCATCATAATAATGATGGATTAAGAAATGGTATGATGACGCCCCCAGATTTCTCATGTTATGGAGTTAGTCTGTATACTATAGGCCTATGCATATTCACTGCACAGATGAATAGATACAGTAGATTTGCAAGGAATACTGTATGTAATTGTTTAAACATTATTAGGAGAGTAACATTCAAATGCTTTGCAGGTGGCTCTTGTGCCAGGCTATGATGTACAAGTCCCAAGACGAAAGCTGAAGTCTCTGTGGACGTCAAGTTCAGCATTTTACATTGGGGATCTTGCGGTGCTCATCTACGGTAGAGAAACACTGGCCAGTTCAAGTTTGACTGGGAGGCAGTCAGGGGCTCACAAAGATGTGGAGTCAAAGCCACAACTGGATCACACAAAGCTTGATGCTATACTTGGTGAGTGCATTTAATTTAAGACAAAACTCATTCTAAAATAAATCCATACATATTGTTTTCCCCCTTCTTTTATAATTTGCAAATGACTGTAATGTTCCATGTAGTGTAATGTTGGAGATTATATTGATTCAATTACTGTCACTTTTAATATGGAAAGACATACAATTATAATGACATACACTCACATACACTATCAGTACTACAAATAAAATGATTCTAAAAAAAACAACTAATACTAATGCTTCTTTATGATGGTAAACAATACATAATGTTTTCAGTTGTCATAAATTATAGAGGGTTCGCACGTGATGTCACCACCGGCAGGTTGCTCATTGTTTTGCCCCTCAGTTACCACTCTGTCGTATTCAGTCTAGCGGATTGGGGTGTGATGTATGTGCAATCCCTCTTTTACGGTGGCCCTGAAGGGCAAAACACAACGACATTTCAAAAAACACAACGACATTACAGAAAACACAACGACATTTCCAAAAACAC